AGGTGAAGGGCAACGCGGTCGCGATGAATATTCGACTTGCATCTGATGACTGCACGTAACAATTGACAATCGCCAATACGTTAGAATATGATTTGGGTGTACTTTCGAAAAGCATATAAATCCGATTCTTTTTAACCTACGTGTACTTGCGTATTTTGATGTGCTGATTACAAATATGATAGTGAAAATTGGCGCAACTTTTATTTTCATAATAAAAACCATACAAAATCGTCAAAAATTTATGTTTTTAGGGTTTATTTGATCAAATACTGGACAATTAAAAAAATGTTTCAAAACAAAAGTTGTAGATCTTTTTGAAATATGCATTTTATGCCCTATTGTTACTGTACGATTGTTACTGTACGAGTGATAGTTTTAGAGAAAAATGATGGACTCTGAAGGTCCTCCCATCTAAGCATGTACTTTGCAGTACGTATACGATTTGTTTAAAATGTTTTTGAATTTTTCAGTACTTGATAAAATAAACAAAAAAAACATCAATTTTGGACGATTTTGTATGGTTTTCACCATGAAAATAAAAGTTACGCCAATTTTCACCATCATATTTGTAATCAGCACATCAAAATACGCAAGTGCATGTAGTTCGAAACAAATTGGAAGTATGGACTTTTCGGAAGTCTAGCCTATGATTTTACTAATTGTAAAGAGCAATCAGTCAATATTAGTTTTAACTAATCATGCGAGTTATCGAGAAGACTTAGCAAAAACTAGAATTTTCCAGTAAATCCGGGTTTGGACAGATTTCGAGTTCTAATCAGTAACATTAATCGGTAGGCCACTAATCAGTAAGATTAATCAGTTACTTATCAGACACTCTGTTATATCCATACACACACAATACATATATATATATTTATTTATACATCAGATTTAAAGATTAATAATACATAATTACGGAATTTTTTAATCAAAACTACATGAAAAATCTTTTAGATATTTTTGTGATTGACTGCAGAATAAAAAAATAAGAAAGTAAAAATAATGCTCTTGCAATTATAACAATTACAGCAGAATATTAAGGCACACTAACATAAGTCAAGTAAGTAACGGTCGACTTTCACTGAAAGGGCTACACTTACGTTGGCGTGAGTTTCTCCAATTGTTCATCGTTCAAAATATCGAGCAAGGTCAAAATCTTATCCGTTTCCATAGGCGTTGGATAATGTTTTTCCTCGATGTAATTGTTTACACAATGAGCAAATGCAGTTGATACGTAGACGAATGCCTAAGAAAATTTAAAAATGAAGTAAATGAATTTCTGCAATTATAAAGCTGAAAACTTGATAATGATTCTTTATTCACATACTTTTAAATTCGGCATTTCTTTTGCTAAAAACAGAAGCTGCTTCGTTCCTTTAACGTTTATGGTCACCGCAGTTCGAATTGTTTCATTAAATCGTACAGTCGCTGCTGCGTGGAAAATTACGTTTGTGTCTAACAGACGTTCTCGATTTCTCTGTGACAAACCAAGATTCAACTTGGTCATATCGGCTTCTATCATTATTATTTTAGAATTATAGTTGGGCTGCTCTTTTTTCAGTCTGTCGTAAACCTGAAAAGAAAATGTTGAAAAAATAATGAAAAAATTGTTAAACTAATTACATACATGTTTATACATATATAAAATTTTATTAATATATCATATTACATGCTCATTATTTATATACTAACTGGGCTGTCGAAATGTTGTTTAAATCTCTCGTCAGGTTTTTTATCTTTTTTCTCCCTCATGAATATGTATAGCTTTCCTATATTCGGGCAGCATCTAGATATGTATGTACATTTATTTTAACAAATTTATAATATATGTATATTTATAAACAAATATCTGTTGAAAACGATAGATTTCTGTCTATTCAATTCGCTAAACGTGAAAAACATAATTTAACGTTTTATACAGAATTTACACAATTCTAAGAATATATTTTTATTATTAAAGAAATTATTACTAAAATGCTTTACGTTAAAAATCAGTTATATTACATTAATGCACTTTAATGAGCTACTTGCATTTTTGCATACCATAGCCTTTTGTGTTAAAATATCCTACCTCAATAATTTTTCTATTAGAAGTATACCAATGAAACCGGAACCGCCCGTTATTAGGACGTTACATCCCGCGAAGAATTGAGGAATTTCACTTTGGTCGTCTTTAGCGTTTGGAAGATCCGACATGCTTAACACATCTTCAATGTAGTCTTTGCTGTTTCGTGTCATCTCACTGATATTTTTTAGGTCTGGTAAAAAATCTTTTTCAATTTCTCCTTCTCACTTGCAAAATCAACAGATCAAAATTTACCTGTCAACGTTGATATTGAATCCTGCAAATCGGTGAATGTTTTAACTTTCTATCAACTCTGATCTTTGTAATGCGTGAGGAGTACTTCTTCCAGAATGCTGCTCCTCGTCAAGACCAACGCGCAAAAACTGACGCGCAAAAAGTTGTGTTCTTAGTCAGGTTATGAAGGTGATCGAGGTAGACACGACTACAACTGCGTCTCGACTGAGATAAAGAAATACGCAAATATTGAGGTGAGCAAGGTATATGAAGAAGGGGATCGGTCTATTAACATTGAATGTACGTGTGTATTTGATGAAAAGTACATGAAGAAGAGGATCGGTCTATTAACATTGAATGTACGTGTGTATTTGATGAAAAGTACATGAAGAAGAGGATCGGTCTATTAACATTTAATATAGGTGTATATTTGATGAAATTGAAAGAAATCATTCAGCTTAAGAAAAACGTTAAAAAAACTGAGAAAATTGTGCTGACCGTTGCATTTTAATAATTACGATGACTAAACGAAGAAAGTGTATCTATACATACACGTGTAGTACACGTATAGGTACATATATTTTACATTAAATTGTTTAAATGAAAGACTGATATTCAGTTCACTACATAATTAAAAGTGTTTTTACATTTTATATGAGATGCTTTTATTAATATCATTTGGCTGTTCTGATGTATACTTAATAAAGTTTTTTAAGTAACTGCATTTCAAGTATTAAAAACCTTTATTTCTAATTTGGTAATTAAAAATTACGCTTTTAGAAATTAACTATACATTTCTAAAATATTATTTTTGAAAAACAGTTATTCGCATGTTTTATTCTGTTATGTCTGGCAATACATTAAGCTTTAATTTTTTAGAAATTTTTGGAATAAAGCATAAATACGAATTCAAGCTGTCAAATTTCGATAATAAAATTAGAATATATTATATTTTCTTCAAATTATTATGGAAAAAAATTTGTAGCCTTAGATTTTGAAAACATGTTAACTCATCACATATAAATAATCGATAATAATATGTTGATACTTTATTAAGCGCAAGAATTAAAGATTTAATTATCTATTAGTTTGTTTACTTACCAGAATTAATTATAGCTTTATTAATTTAACTGATTTGGAAAAAAACTGAACTGTGACGTAAAGTTTTAATTTAAGCTTTTTTCGTTTTGCTAAACTAACCGATTCATTTGAAGTAGGCATGAATGTTTCTTCAATACTCGGATTATTCATGGCTGATGACATTCATGATGCAAATTCAAGTAGTGTATCATGCAATGACGAATATTTTTTTAATAGAAAATAGTCTATACAGTTACGATACTATTTACGAGTAACTTGGTTTAACAAGAATTATTTTTAGGAAAATATGTCTATATTGAAATTAAAGTACCATTAAACCTCGCTTCAAAGATGAAAGATCAATGAATCCGATTAAGGAAAATTGTGTGTCACTGTTATTCACAATGCTGATACCGGAACTCAATGAAAAGTATGCGCATTTTTTGTATAAGCAAAAATTCAATTTATGACGTTTAAAGAATCTTGAATAAATCGTTGATACGTGCACAGGCCAAGTTGATTACTGTTATTATACCAGTTGTTGAAATATTAAAAATAGCGACTTCTTTAGAGGATATGGAAATGTCCTCTATGTTTGAAGAATTTTGCACATAAATCATTTTTATTTATACTTTAGGATAGCGATGAGCAAGTGGGCAGCGCTCGGGGGCGCTCGGTTGTCTGCGGATAATAACTGAGCATGCTGGGCGATAGTGAGAAAGTATATTAGGCAATAGTGCGAAAAAAATATCGAGCAGTGAAACAGAGCATAGATCGTCACGTTTGAGTGTAGGTGGGGCGTTGATTGGAGTGGGGATATGTAGTTGGGCACCCGCGGGCATCTGCATTTTTGTCCATTCCTGCTTTAGGAGAACAGATGAATTAAAGAGTAAAGTCAACGGCACGCGATACTATTTTTCCTGCTGGATTGCTCACGAGAGCCAATCAAGATGCAGAGTTTTCGATCAGGTGATTCAAAACTGAAACCTGATTGGCTCTCGTAAGGGATTCAGTAGGAAAAATAGTATCGTGTGCCGTTGGCTTAAGTAATAGCTAAATATAATCTTAAGAAATTAAACAGAATTAAAAGATTAACAAATTAGATTGTAAATTATAACGTAAAAAATAAAATGCAAAATTTAAAATGATTGAAGTAATCTACAATAAAGTGATTTAAAAATTTATTTCTTTTAAATAATTATTTTTCTTTATGTACCGATAGTGAATTTAATCAGTAACAGATAATTATTTTATTTCATATAATATGTTTCTGCAAATGACTTTGAACGATATTCACATTCTTGTATTTCAGATCGTTTCAAGTACGATTTCGAGATGTAGTACTTTGCTGCATTAACTGAATGGAATCTGAAGATCACTTAACATCTGACTCAACACGATCTTAAATATAAGTTTGGACTATGGATATTGCTTTAGCAATTTGTACGCAATAAATCGTGGAACTTTACCACCGATTATTTACTTCTGACACTTCCTTTGATTTTTCATTCTTTTTGAGATTATTTTGTATTATTATCAGCGTAGATAACAATATTTTTGAAATATCTTTATTAAAAGTTGTATGATATTTTAATAGTTTTAAATAGACTTTTATTATTATTATCATTATCATTTGTTTTCATGACATAAACTTGAGTCTGTAAAATAATACTCTCCTAAATGTTGATGTGATTAATGTTTATTTTAAATATTTTTCTTTTCATCAATCGAATAAATCGGCATATGTTTTATCTCTCTAGAAGCTAAAGCTTCGCTTATGTGGCAGCAATAATTTAAGAAAATTACTAATAGAGTCTCCCTGATTTTTCGATCATCGATAAAGTATCGTTCTTGTCACTTCAAGATCAGGAGTAGAGCAGAGTACTACTTAATCCAAGTACTACTTAATCCAATTTGAAACAGCAATGATAATAACAAATATTTATCTAGGGTGGATAGTATTCAATAGCACCATCATTAATCGATGATTTAAGGGGATTTTACAGCAAAGAGTGAACTCCGATGAGAAATCACTTGCATCTAAACGGAAGTAAAAATGTCGATAATTACCAACATTTTGAATTATGTTCTCTACATTATCGTTTTACTCAGGACATAAATTTACCACCAATACATGTATCCTTTTCGAGATATTGTGCGATATTTACAATAATTTTAATTGTGTACTTTTGATTATTTAGCTACCTATCTACTAGTCGTCCACTTGATATCCACAGTATCGCACGAAACAGTATTGCCGATATACTCGTCGCTATTAACGTAACGCGATGGACATGAAACGAATTGATGTTACACGAATGATGTTACATGAATGAGTTACATAAAAATATATGGAACGATAATGAAGAAAAAAACTCAAAAGATATATGCTTTATTTTTAATTTGTAAATGTGAAAAATTCCCGATAATGCATAATGCGAATACAATTTAACAAATCGTGATAGCATATTAATTAAGACTGAGTAATGCAAGATTCTCTTCCAGTAATATACTGTAAAGCGTATGTCATAATTTACAAATTTGATATGTGCTAGATATTTTGAAAATATCAATTACAATAAGTAATTTGACAAAATAATATTATAAAAAGTTATTAAAACATTGTAATAACTTATTACAATATTATTTATATTAACTTTAATAAATATTATAATTAGTTTATTAATAAGCAAGGTATTAATAAAAATTAACTTATTAATACGTAACAAATTAATAAGTTATTAATTATAAAAAGTAATTTATTAACTGATATAAAATAATGCGTCAGAGTTTTCACAAATTAATATAAATAAATGCATTCATTTGCTTCAATATTACTTTGACATTTTTTTATAACGTAGAAAAATATATGGTAGTTCCGAGAAAACAATCGTCGACTTATTTTAATTGAGACTATGTAATATTTGGTCTTTCTTAAATAATTCAAGATCGTTGTTTTATGATATAATAATGTATAACAATCTTTTCGCATTGCATATATTGATCCATATGCATAAAGCGTGTCCGGAGAATAATTTAATATTATTACATTCTTCTATATATATTTTTATATTGCAAAAGCATTAAGATTGTCTAATTTTAATATACCAGGAAGAAGAGAAGATTAAGTCGTGCAATTTTTTAATTTATTAAAAGCACAATTCTTAATTTATTAAAATTATGCAATGTCATTTTTCTCTGACAATAATATTAGAGAAAGCAATAATATGAATATAATTGGTAATATGAATTGATATACATAAGCGTATTTTTTTTATTAAAATGTAAATTTCATTCTCTAATTACACATTAGATAATCATTTCACTTGACGAGAGTCCAAGCAACCGTTCAAATTTATTTGAAAAAAGAATAAAAAATAATTGTACTAATGCATTTTCCATGAGAATTATTTTTTAGTAATTTAGAGAATTATTTTTGTGTAATTTATTATTACACATCTCTATACATGAATTAATTCAACTGCGTATTTGTTGAATTATATAAGTGTATGAGTGATATTAAATGGTATCAAGTGAAGACAATACATGCAATTATCGATAGGATAATTTAGCATGCCCGTCAAATTCGCGGAACAATTAAATGCGGAGCAATGAACCGCCGTAGACGCCGAATCAGGTGCGCGAGAGGATACGTAGCCAGCGTCCAGTGCGCGTCGCGACGGCACCTCGGTCGCCGCGAGAAGGAACGAGAATATTCGGCGTACGTCAACTCTCACCGCAATCAGATCTCTTTTCACTCGCGAGAAAGAAGTCGGCGCGTTCGACGAAGTAACGCACCGACGTGAACGCGTCGCGTATCATTTCAATTACCTCTGCGCACTTCTGCTCGAGCGCCGTACATTCAAACCGCCGCGCGCCGCACATCCGAGCCGCCGCGCGCGATTAGCTGCGAACGAGGCGAGCCCCCCCGGATCCAGCCAATCGCGCGCGCCGGCTCCGCGCCTGCGGCGCTCGAGCCGCCGACGCCCTCGGAATATGTAAAAACATGTTTACCGGCTTCCGTGTCGGTTGGCGCGTGATCACGCTATTGTCTTTTTCCGGCGCTCCAACGTACGTGTCGAGGTGACGCAGGAGTCATTCGCCCAAAGGAATCTCGAGCCGGTAAGACGTACTCGAGCGATTCTCTGCGGGCCAGTCGCATCCCCGCGAAACGGCCAATCGCTTGCGACGTCTCGGAGCCGGCGAGTCACTAGACGTGCAGTGCGCGCACACATCGGACGTGTATTCTCGAGCTTCTCGAGACTCGGAAAATGTCGAATGTTCTATTACGTACCGCGGCGGTTGGCGATGACGTCTGTTGTTTTTATGTCCGGCGCTCAAACGTACGTGTCGAGGTGACGCAGGAGTCATTCGCCCAAAGGAATCTCGAGCCGGTAAGACGTACTCGAGCGATTCTCTGCGGGCCAGTCGCGTCCCCGCGAAACGGCCAATCGCTTGCGACGTCTCGGAGCCGGCGAGTC